TCTGAATGCTAAGCTACATCTTGTTCTCGTCAAGGTCCGGCACTCTGGGATGGGTTCGCTGTTTGAACCTTGGCTACCACGTCTTGCCAGCTTTAGTTTTGAAGCTTTAACTTTCCCCTCTGTGAAAAAAAGGTGTTTTAACTAGTACGTTGGTGCAGAAGTCATTGCTATTTGCCATTACTTTCAATGGCAGAAGAATTGCTTCAGCCCAGGAGGTGGAGGTTGCAGTGAGCCAAGATCACCCCACTGCACTCCGGCCTGGGCAACAAAATCAAAACTCTGTCTCAAACAAACAAACAAACAAACAAGCTTGTAATTTAAAAGTTTGAGCATCACTGGGCTAGATGGGGGTCCTGTAGATAACCGGGACCCAAATAGGCTTTAGGTTCAGAGATACAGAAGAACCAGATCTGGGATGCTGCTCTTGCTCCTACCATGGACGAGTCCGGGAGGAAACCTCCCCAACCGCTCTAAAAACTCTGAAAACTGCAGTTGGAGAAGTGGCCACTAGGCGGCATCATACCATTTCACCAATTGAATTTAAAACCTCTTTTTTTCCGCCCCAGAAACTCGTATTCTAGCGGTAAGCTGGCCCAGTTCCATGGGCCTTTGGTGTACTCTCCTCCTGGAAGAGAACAAGAAGTTCAAAGTTTCCATGATGAGAGGGAGCCTCTGTTGTTCAAAGAAATGATGGAGACTGGTGTGGCCTGAGCCCAGAGTGACGGGGGTGCTGGTTTGCAGAGGGCCCGTGGAGGGCACTGGGAGTCCCACGGTCTGCGGGCCACAGGGATTGTGACCATGACAAAGTTTAAGGAGGATGGGGGGGCTGTGCTTCAGAACGAACCCGCTGGTGAGCCACACCATAGATTTGGAGTCAGCACATTTTTTCTGTCAAGGTCCAGGTTGTCAATATTGTCAGCTTTAGGGACCTTACCGTCTCCACTGCAATGACTGAACTCGGCTGCTGTCTGGTGAAAGCAGCCATAGATGAGACATCAAGGAATGGCTTGGCTGTGTCCCAATAAAACTATTTATAAACACAGAAGCTTCCATTTCATATCATAGGACATGTCACACAATGTAGCCTTTGGGTTTGTTTTCAACCACTTTTAAGATGTTACAACTATTCTAGGCCAGGTGCATTAGCTCATGCCTGTAATCCCAGCACTTTGAGAGGCCGAGGGAGGAGGATTGCTCGAAGCCAAGAGTTCGAGACCAGACTGGGCAACATAGTGAGACCCCATCTCTACAAACATTTTAAAATTAGCTGGGCATGGTGGTGCATGCCTGGATTCTCAGTTACTCAGGAGGCTGAGGAGGGAGGGTCACTTAAGTCCAGGAGGTCAGAGCTGCAGGGAGCTATGATTGTACCACTGCACTCCAGCCTGGGGGACAGAGTAAGACCACTGTCTCTAAAAAACTAAAAAATAATAAGGCCAGGCGTGGTGGTGCCTGTAATCCCAGCACTTTGGGAGGCTGAGGCAGGTGGATCACAAGGTCAAGAGTTCAAGACCAGACTGACCAATATGGTGAAACCCCGTCTCTACTAAAAATACAAAGAATTAGCAGGATGTGGTGGCATGCACCTGTAGTCCCAGCTACTTGGTAGGCTGAGGCAGGAGAATTGCTTCAACCTGGGAGGCAGAGGTTGCAATGAGCCGAGATCACACCACTGCACTCCAGCTTGGGCAACAGAGCAAGACTCCATCTCAAAAATAAATAAATAAATAAATAATAATAAATATAAATAAATGCAAAACTGGTATTACCTCGAGGGCTGAATTTAGCCTGTGGGCCGTAGGTTGTCAACCCTGGTATAGATGGATGGGAATGACAAGAGTTACGGGGACCAAGGCAGACCAAAAAATGAGGGTGAAGTGGGCTGAAAACCATCAGAAGAAAAGGAGCTGGTGCCACAGGACCTTTGCAAATGTTCTTCCCTCTTCCCACCCCCTCCCGAGTAAATTCCTGCTTGGCACTGACATTACAGCACAGACTCCACCTCCTCAGGGAAGCCTCCCCAACCCCTGTCCCTTGCCCAGCTACATCAGTTGCCCTAATGTCACACTCACTATCCCCTCATTCACCTCTTCATCACTGCAGTGGTTTTGGGGGTATGTTTTATTTTGAGGCAGTCTTGCTCTGTCTCCCAGGCTGGAGTGCAGTGGGACGATCTTGGCTCATTGCAACCCCCACCTCCGGGGTTCAAATGATTCTCCTGCCTCAGCCTCCCGAGTAGCTGGGATTACAGGCGTGCACCACCATGCTTGGCTAATTTTTTGCATTTTTAGTAGAAACGGGGTCTACCATGTTGGCCAGGCTGGTCTCAAACTCCTGGCCTCAAGTGATCCGCCTGCCTAGCCTCCCAAAGTGCTGAGATCACAGGCATGAGCCACCACACCCGGCCTCATCACTGCAGTGGTGCTTTTATTTTTTTTTTTATAAAGACGTTTCACCATGTTGGTCAGGCTGGTCTTGAACTCCCAACCTCAGGTGATCCTCCTGCATTGGCCATTGAAAGTAATGAATGAATGTTGCCCAGGCTGGTCTCAAACTCCTGGCCTCAAGCGATCGTTCCACCTTGGCCTCCCAAAATGCTGGGATTGCAGGCTTGAGCCACCACACCCATCCTTTGTCAATACTAAAATGAATGTAGCCACATGTCTTGTTTTCAACTACTCTTATCCACCTAGCAACCCTAAATGCCCGATCCCCCAGAGGGGCTGATTTCAGACCACTTTGATCTTTGCTATTCTGATCTTCATGGGGAAGATAAATCATGGGGAAAATGCACGCCTTCCCTTTGGGGGCCCATGCACTTTGTTCATCTCTTTAAGATACATTTACCACGTTGTACTGGAAGGATTTATTCTTTGTCTGTATTCCCAGCTAGGGGATGGGATGCTCTTTGTGTCCCTAGCACCCAACAGTGATCCTGGAACATGATAAGCATCCAGTAACTGTTCTGCCGTATGACAGGGGGACGGCCGCTTTGCTGATGAGCTTCCCCAGGGCCTCTTCATGTCCTTGTTCTGTAGGCTGTAGATAAAGGGTTCAGCATGGGGATGCTCACCTCACACATGAGGGCAGCTGCCTTGTCCTTCTGGGAGGAGCTGGGGGATGCGGGCTGTAAGTACACAGCAAAGATGGTCCCATAGAACAGGGACACCACAGTGAGGTGTGAGCCACAGGTGGATAAGGCTTTCCACTTGCCCCGAGCAGAAGGGATCTTAAAGACTGTCCAGAAAATGCGGATGTAGGAGAGAAGGATGCAGGAGAGTGGGCGTTGCCCATGACGACACCAGAAGCCAAGATCACCAGCTCATTGGTGTGCGTGTCTGAGCAGGAGAGCTTCAGCAGGGGCGTGAGGTCACAGAAGAAGTGGGAGACTTTGGAGCCGGCACAGAAGGTCAGTTGAGCCATGAGGCAGGTGTGTACGAGAGACTGGATGTTGGTGATCACCCACGGTGCCCCCAGCAGCAGCCCACAGACACGGGGCACATGAGGACCAAGTAATGGAGCAGCTGGACAATGCCACGAAGTGGTCAATGGCCAATACTGCCAGGAGAAAGCTGTCCATGGTCCTGAACAGGTGGGAGGTGTACATCTGGGTGGCAGCCCTCTAAGGGGATGGCTCTGCTCTGAGTTCTGATGGATGTTCACTAGCATCTTGGGGATGGTGGTGGAGGATCACAGGTTGGACAGGAAGAAGCACATGGGTGTGTGGAGGCGAAAGTCCGTGAGGAAGGCCAGGATAATGAGGACATTTCCGATGATGGTGACCACATATGTGGAGAGGAACATTGTGAAGAGGAAGGTCTGATGCTCTGGCTTTTCTGAGAGTCCCTGGAGGAAGAATTCTGAGATTTCGGTTTGGTTTTCTGGTTCCATGTATAGTCTGTGTCTAGTGGGAACAAAAAGGGAGAAAAGCCATATAGAGCCAGGGGTCAGAGATGCCATTCTGGTCCCAGCTTCCCATGGAAACCTATACTGTTCTGTGAAAATTCCATCATATCCATCAAGTTCCTTTGTGTTTGGTTATCCTCAAGCCATTTTCAGGGGGCTTCTGTTGCCTCTCAAGCCAAGCCATTCATGCCTGAGGCAGTCAGTGTCTCAAGGACCTAACGGAGCTGCTGATAGTCAAACTTGGCTGTTCTCTATAAACACTTTTGCATCCTTCAGTGGAGCAAAGCTTCATAGAAAACAAAACCAAGTGGCTCATGCCTGTAATCCCTGCACTTGGGGAGGCCAAGGCGGGCAGGTCACCTGAGGTGAGGAGTTCGAGACCAGCCTGGCCAACATGGTGGAACCTCGTCTGTAAGAAAAATACAAAAAAATTAGCCGGATGCAGTGGCGGGCACCTGTAATCCCAGCTACTCAGGAGGCTGAGACAGGTGAATCACTTGAACTTGGGAGGTGGAGGTTGCAGTGAGCCAAGATCGCACCACTGCACTCTAGCCTGGGTGACAGAGCAAGACTCCATCTCAAACAAACAAACAAATGAAAATCAAGCAGAATCAAACCCGATGAAAACCCTATGCAGTAAAGGAAACCTTACCATCTTCTGTTTTTCCTTCTCTCCCCTTCCTGTTATCTTTCCCTTTTCTTTTTTCTTTTTCTGTTTTTGAGACAGAGTCTTGCTCTGTCACTAGGCTGGAGTGCAGTGGTGCCATCTCAGCTCACTGCAACCTCCGCCTCCCGGGTTCAAGTGATTCTTGTGCCTCAGCCTCCTGAGTAGCAGAGATTATAGGCATGCACCACCACACCTGGCTAATTTTTGTATTTTCCTAGAGATGGGGTCTCACCATGTTGGCCAGGCTGGTCTTGAACTCCTGACCTCAAGTGATCCACTCACCTTGGCCTCCCATAGTGCTGGGATTACTGGTGTGAGCCACGATGGCCGGCCAGCTTCCTCTTTTCTTTCCTCCCACCACCCTCTTTCCCCTTCATCCTTTCACCAACAATATGTAATTTAAACATCAGTTTTGTGTTAAAAACAGATGAGTGGATAAAGAAAATGTGGTAGGAATACACAGTGGAGTACTATTTATTCAGCCATTGAGAAAAGAGGAAATTCTACCATTTGCGACTATATAGACAAAGCTGGAAGACATTATGTAACATGAAATAGCCAGGTACAGAAGGGCAGATACCACGTGTTCTCACTTATATGTGGAATTTAAAATGGTCAGTCTCATAGGAGCATAGAGTAGAATGGTGATTACCAGAGGATGGGGGAGGGGGGTGGGTGTGAGGGAGATATTAGTGAAAGAATACAAAATTTCAATTAGATGGGAGGCATACATTCAAGAGATCTACTTGTACAGCATAGTGACTATAGTTAATAACAATGCGTTGTATACTTGAGAAACTCTGAGAGTCAATTTTATGTGTTCTCATCACCAAGAAATTATAGGCACAGATGTTCTGAGGCTGATAATGGGGTCATACATTGAAAATATCATGTCAGGTTGGGTGCAGTAGCTCACACCTGTAATCTCAGCACTTCGGGAGGCTGAGGCGGGTGGATCACCTGAGGTCAGGAGTTCGAGACCAGCCTGGCCAACATGGTAACACCCGGTCTCTACTGAAATACAAAATTTGCCAGGTGTGGCTCATGCCTGTAATCCCAGCTACTTATGAGGCTGAGGCAGGAGAATCACTTGAACCTTCGAGGCAGAGGTTGCAGTGAGCTGAGATTGTGCCACCGCACTGCAGCCTGGGCAACAAGAGTGAAACACTGTCTCAAAAAAAATAAAATATTGTAAGTCAAAAATGCATTGAACATACCTACCAAGCATTACAGCTTAGCCTAGCCCACAGTAAACGTGATCAGAACACTTACATTAGCCTATAGTTAGGCAAAACCATCTAATACAAAGTCTATTTTATTCTATTTAATTTATTTTGAGACAGGGTCTCACTCTGTCACCCTGGCTGCAGTGCAGTGGCACAGTCACAGCTCACTGCAGCCTGTACCTCCTGGGCCCAGGTGCTTCCCCCACCTCAACCGGCCTCGTAGCTGGCACAGGTGTTTTTATTTTGTCCTCAGCAATGATGATATCCGTAATGGGTTAAACCTACTTAGGAGCCAGTTTCTTTCTTTTTTCCCCTAGCTATTGGCTGCTCAGCATGATTTTTATCTTTTTTAATTTTTATAATTTTATTTTAAGTTCTGGGTTACATGTGCAGGATGTGCAGGTTTGTTACATAATTAAATGTGTGCCATGGTGGTTTGCCTCACCTATCAACCCGGCACCTAGATATTCAGCCCCACATGCTGCATTATCCTGATGAGGAGCCAGCTTCTTTTCTTTCTTTTCCTTCCCTTCCCTTCCCTTCCCTCCCTCCCTCCCTTCCCTCCTTCCTTCCTTCCTTCCTTCCTTCCTTCCTTCCTTCCTTCCTTCCTTCCTTCCTTTTTCTTTCTTTCTTCTTTCTCTTTCTTTCTTCCTTTCTTTTCTTCCTTTCTTCTTTCTCTTTCTTTCTTTCTCTTTCTTTTCTTTTCTTTCTTTTTTTCTTTCTTTCTCTTTCTCTTTCCTTTTTTTTTTGAGATGGAGTCTCACTCTGGCACCCAGGCTGGAGTGCAGTGGTGTGATCTCGGTTCATTGCAACCTCTGCCTCCCAGGTTCAAGTGATTCTCCTGCCTCAGCCTCATGAGTAGCTGGGATGACAGGCGTGCACCACCATGCCCAGCTAATTTTTGTATTTTTATTAGAGATGGGGTTTCATGATATATTGGCCAGGCTGGTCTTGAACTCCTGACCTTCCAATCCACCCGCTTCAGCCTCCCAAAGTGCTGGGATTATAGGTGTGAGCCACCACGCCTGGCCAGGAGCCAGTTTCTTAATGCGTAGGTCTCACCATAACTCCGACTGGGAGATTGTGTTAGCTACAATTTATAATGAGCAGACTGGGGCTGAGAGAGCTACCAGGAGCACTCAGCTTGCAAGTGCCTGATCTTGCCTTTGAATTTAGATTTATTTTCACTCTCTCATACTCCATTGCCTCACTACGAATGGTCACTCTCACCTCTTTGTGAGGCATTTTGAAGCTAAACTCTGTGCTGTCAACATGTGCAAGGGAAAAATACTCAATTGCAAGCATTTACACGTTTCTTTTTGAGACAGTCTCACTCTGCCACCCAGGCTAGAGTACAGTGGCACAATCTCAGCTTACTGCAATCTCCGTCTCCTGGGTTCAAGTGATTCTTGTGCTTCAGTCACCTGAATAGTTGGGATTACAGGCGTGCACCACCATGCCTGATTAATTTTTTTTTTTTTTTTTTTTGAGATGGAGTCTCGCTCTGTCGCCCAGTCTGGAGTCCAGTGGCGCAATCTTGGCTCACTGCAACCTTCCCCTCCCAGGTTCAAGATATTCTCCTGCCTCAGTCTCCCGAGTAGCTGGGACGACAGGTGCTCACCACCACATCCAGTTAATTTTTTGAATTTTTAGTAGAGACGGAGTTTCACTGTGTTAGCCAGGATGGTCTCGATCTCGTGACCTCATGATCCACCCGTCTCGGCCTCCCAAAGTGCTGGGATTACAGGCGTGAGCCACCGCGCTGGGAAAATTTTTGTATTTTTAATAGAGATGAGGTTTTGCCATGTTGGCCAGGCTGGTCCTGAACTCCTGACCTCATGCCATCAGCCTGCCTCAGCCTCCCAAAGTGCTGGGATTACAGGTGTGACCCACCCTGCATGGCCATGAGCATTTACAATTCTTATCTCCCTTAAATCTTCAGTAAGATTTAAGGCTTGCTGAAGCGGGATCAGAATGTAAATGGAGAACACAGCCTGTAGATAGGTCTGTACAAGAAAGGATATGAACGACCCCAAGGTGTTGTGAGAGTCATGGAAAAATAAAAATAGCTGCCACAAGAAGCAGGGCACTTCGAGGTCGATGAAATGATGAAAAAGGTTTTTAAGGAAGGTTAGCATCATAATCTCCTTGGTAACCCCGAGAGACCTTCAGCAAAGCCCTGTGTTACTTTTCAAGGCTTTTTAGCGTTGGATCTGAGGTTTTTGCAATGCAATGCGTGGTTTTCTCTAAGTTGCAAAGAATACTGTGATTCCCGTCCTGCCAATGTATTTGTAACAGTCCTCACTTGTTGACTGGGGTTGCGTAGAGCAGTGGTTCTCAACCTTGAACGTGCTTCAGGGTCTCCTGGAGGGCTTGTTAAGACACAAAAAGCTGGCCAGCATGGTGGCTCACACTTGTGAGCCAGCACTTTGGGAGGCTGAAGTGGGGGAATTGCTTGAGACCAGGAGTTCAAGACCAGCCTGGCCAACAAAGTGAGACCACCCCTCTCCACCCCACCCCGGATCTACAAAAAAAAAAATTTTTTTCTGGGCATGGTGGCATGCACCCATAGTTTCAGCCACTCGGAAGGCTGAGGTGGGAGGATCCCTCGAGTCTGTGAGTTCCAGACCAGCCTGTGCAACATAGTGAGACCCCCATCTCTACAAAATCAAAAATTGGCTGGGCATGGTGGCATACATCTGTTAGTCCTAGCTACTTGGGAAGCCAAGGCAGGAGGGTCGCTTGAGCCCAGGTGTGGGAGACCATCTTGGGCAACGTAGAGAGACCCCTGTCTCTACAAAAATAAAATTAGCCAGGCACAGTGGTATGTGCCTGTTATCCCAGGTACTCAAGAGGCTGAGGTGGGAGGATCACTTGAGCTTGGGAGGTCGAGGCTCCAATGAACTATGATCATGCCACTGCACTTTAGGCTGGGCAACACAGCAAGACCCTGTCTCAAAAACGAAAGCAAAAACCAAAACAAAAAACTCCCTCCAAACCCATCGCACACAAAAAGCTAAGCCCTTTCTCTGAAGTGTCTGGTATAAGAACCAGCATATAGATAGGCCTGTACAAGAAAGGATATGAATGAC